GGTAAGAAGGGACTGGTCTTGCGGGTGTGGGTGCGGGCTCTCTGTTATTAGGGCGCCTTAATCTCGAGATTGAGATGGGTCGGTTGAATGGGGTTCTATTAGCATATCTTTTCCTCCATGAGTTAGGACAGTATCGTCGACCGCCGATGAGCTTAAAGGATGTAGCCTTTTACCGAAGACCGAGGGTCGGTGCTCTGGTGTGAGGAGATGTTACATGGATGGACAGGGGTACGGAACCGATTGGGAGGTACCTGGCCAGACAGAAATGCTAGATCATAGAATTGACTCACCTTCTCTTTAAGAGACTGGTTTTCTGCCCTGATGGATGCGTTTTCGGTTCGAATTGCATTGTTCTCAGCTTCCAGTATGGCTACCTTGTCCTAGTTCTACTGCATGAGGGCGGTCAGAGCCTCCAGTTTGGCCTCGAGGCCAGGGTTAGGCGTTGTTGGAGTTGTTAGCCATGGAAAGTTCCTCTACGTAGCAAGGTTTGTTGAGCCGAATGATTGCTAGAGGCCCCACGGTGGGCGCCAAACTATAGACGTAAAAATCTACTTGTACGGAAGTGGGGTCTGATCCCGTGAGGTTGAGGACACTAGCGATTCGCTGTACCTGCACACGTAGAAAAACAAGTGTGTGAAGCAAACGAAAAACACCGAGGTGGTGTTTATCATAGGCACTCCGACGCTCAAGTCAACAAGGCTGAAAGACGCTAGTATAGTGAGGGCTAAGGAGTAGAAAGGTTACCGGAAGTCTAGTCGGGGACTGTGACTATGGCGGTGATATGAAGCTCTCAAATAGGAGCTTCGGTTGTGAAGGTGTAATGTAATCTCCCTTGTGAGAGGACTGGCCTCTGTTTATATAGTGACTGTCTGGTCTCCCAATCCTAGTGGGAGTAGGAGTCCTAGTTTGATTCTGATACAAACCCTAGAGGAGTTAGGGCGGTAGTGAGTTGTCTTACCAATGTCCGGGTAGGAAGGTGATCCCGAACAGGAAAGTAATTTCGAATAAGAGATTGATCAGGAACAGGAAAGTGATTTGTGGGGGTCGCAGGCTCTGAACTTGCGTATAGGCCCAGAAAGTGAGCTGGAACTGGGAAGCCCGCGCCTAGATGGTTTGGGCCGGCTGTGTCTCATATCAAATAAGCCTAATCTGGCTTGGGCCTCATTGGGATTAGGCCTGCTTTCTTCCTAACTACTGGTCCTGTTTCCCTATTTGGGCCAAGGACGATTTTTGGCCCTAACACATTGCCTGTAAAATCCCAAGGGACCTAAAGCAATTCAATTTGAGCAAGAACAATGCTCATGGCTAATATCTTAAAAGGGCTTTTGGTTGGCGATAATGTGAGATAATGGGGGTTATGTGATCTTATATTACTTGATTATCACATTTGGTTGTCAAGTAATATAAGATTTCGGTAATCTTTAAATACCAATAGTAGTTACTATTGGTAATATTGGAGATAATCTGGGCTTCGTTTGGTTCACTTTTTTGCATTTTTTAGAAAAGTTTTTTGAAAAAAGTTAAAAAAAGTTGAATTGGGTAGGTATTACGATGTAGGATTTGAAAATTAATAAAAATACTCCCTATGTTTATTTATTTACTAAACACCCCTATAATAAAACTTTGAAAGTTAACAAAAATACCCTAACCCACCCATTGAATAATCACAGCTGGCTACCATCGCCGGAAGGTGGTCCGAGTCACCGTATCGACACATGACTGGCTAGATCTTGCCGGTCATGCACCGATATGGCCTTTGTCGGCCAGATCCACAGTGGATCTGGCCGGCAAAGGCCAGATCTACGACTAGATCTAGCCATTGACGGTCAGATCTAGCCACATTTGCTCGTCAACGATGGCCAAAGATACGGTCGTCATTGATGGTCAACGACGACCATATGTTGGCTGTCGTTGACGTCTAGTTACAGCCAAAAATCTGGTTGTCAACGGCCAGATCTTTGGCCTTAGATCTGGCCTTTTCCGGCCAGATCCATGCTAGATCGGCGCACTACTGGCCAAATTCAGCCGGTAGTGCGCCATTATATCAGATTCCGACCAACTTCTGGCAGTGGTGGCCGAAATCTAGTATAATGTGGGTTTAGGGGTGTTTTTGCAATTTCAAAAAAAATATTTAGGGGTATTTAATTAAATTAACAAATTTATGGGGTTTAAAAAAAGTTGAATAATATTGGATAATATTGTGAGTTTTTGGGTATTTTACTGTTTAACTTTTTTGGGAATACTAATAATAGTATTCCTAAAAACCAACCAAACGGAGCCCTGATTACCTCAATTTTCTTAGGTATTCTAAGATTACCAGGGTTATCTTTTTTTGTTACAATTTTATCCCTTATTAATAAAAATTTTGGACAATAATACCCTCATTTTAAAATAAATTTACATTTATATCCTATTTCAATTTTACCCTTGTTTAATTGAAATTTTGGACTATAATTTCCTTATATTTAAAACAATTTACAGACCACCACTGCCACCCAACCACCACCGCCGACAGCAGGCCAACCACCATGGACCGCCGCCGAAAAGTCGTCAGAGTCCCTAAAAAAGAACGAGATTCGGTGGGAGGCTTTGGGAGGTTCGATATGGCCATTGAAAACAACCATATTAGGCGAGATCTGGCCGGAAATGGCCAGAACCCAGATTGATGGTACTGGCCGTTAATAACCAGATCCCTGGCCATTAACGGCTAGTTCTGGGCAAGTTCGTGGCTGTTAACGGCCATATCTATTCTGGCCGGAATAGATCTGGTCGTTAACGGCCAGATCTCGCTCAGATATGGCCACTAACGGTCAGATCCATTGATCTGGCCTGATATGGCTATTTTCGGCCATCAATATAGCTAGAAACGGCCATATCAGAGCCTTTTGGTCACAACGAGCTACTGAAGGGGACTTTCGGGGACTTCCGGCGGTGGTTTGCAGCGGCGGCAGGAGGTGGGGGTGATTTCATAATAAATTAAAGTTTTATATAAGCGGGGGTGTTTTAACTAAATCTGACATATTAGGGGTTAAAAGAAATTATTCAAAAATTAATAATAAAAATAATATTATATTAATATTTGAAAAAGGGACAATTTAGTGATTTAAATAACATACCCACCAATTGATTCCTTATAACCAAACATATTAATATAGCATACCCACCAACTAAACAAACACATTTTCCTAAGGGTATGCTTGTGAGTTTTTTTTTCACTGGTTTTAAGAGGTTTTTAATTGGACTGGTTTTGAGGTGTTTAAAAACCCCCACTTGCCAGATTTTTAATAGACTGGTTTTGACTGGTTTAAAAACCCTCCAAAACCAGTGTAGTGTATTTTTGAGGGGTTTATAAAACACCCCAAATCAGGGTGTTTTGGCTAGTTTAAAACTTTTATCCCAGAAAAACCCCTTTCCACTCTCTTCGCTGCACAATCTCTCGCTGCTGTTGTTTGCACTTGAAGGAAAAATGCACCTAAAATTTTAAGAGCTTCATGACGCCATTCTTATGACAACTGTGCCAATTACATAAATATTACTAGAGCAATTGTAAGTAAAATGCGTGGTGAATTTGAGAGTTAACTCCATTCTTATGATGGTAATGGAAATCAACACAGCAAACTTCTATTCTTAAGAGCTTCAAACCAAATATTAATAGAAAGAAACAAAAATATATTCCATCAAACCAAATACAACTGCAAACTGAAACTAATGACCTCCAATAACGGAATTTGTTGAAGCAATCATAACTATTAGAGAGAGCCTCTTGTTTGATTGGAGAAAAAGAAAATAAAAACAAATAATGTAGGCATTATCTATATTTATCAAAGTTAATTAAGCAAAAGAGAGAGTGTTTTAACTTTATGGGTATTTATGTAAATTTATTATTTAAAAAAACTGTCAGAACTGTTAGAAAATAAACTCCCAAGCACAGGTTGGGTGTTTTAAAAACCGCTACTAAAAACCCTTCAAAACCGCTACGGTGATTTACCCTCAAAACCGCTACGATGGTTTACACTCATAACCGCTACCATAAAACTCCCAAGCAGACCCTAAAGATTCCCAGTAATCTTCCAAGGTAATCTATCTTTCCAGTAATCCAACATTTTCTGAACCAAACGCCTCTTATTTTGGGCCTTGCCCAATGAAATGAATACCAATAATTAATAAACCTGATCCATTACAACTATAAAGTTCTATTGGCTCTTATAATTTACGTTTTGCATTTTCTTAATTTAGTTTAATTTAATTTTTTTTTTCATATTTTGAGACACAATCTTTCATTATCTATTCAAGAAAAGTTTTAAAAAATTTCTTCATTTTTGCAAATATATGATTTTCCATATAATATCATCTACAAAGAGTATTACAAAAAAAAAAAAAAAAAATTAATAATCTATTTTGCGGGTTATAAATTTTTATAGAGGAAATAAATTTAAATTAGTTTTTTTTAACAAATTCTGCTTAAATAATGAAGTGAATTTTTTTGAAATGCTTTGATACATTTGATGAAGAATATTATTAAAAAAATTATTGCCTAAAAATTTTAGATATAAACCCAATTTTATTTTTCCATTATTTAATTATTTTAGTTTGAATTTAATATTTATCCATTACATTTCAATTTTTTATAATAAATAAAAGTAAGAGATTTATCATCTTTAAAAAAAGAAAACACGCTATTGGCTCATTCATATTGATGCGGATCACAATCCGTGTCACAAACTCCAATAGAGAATTTTAGCCGTCGAATACTGACAATTCAAAGGTCGCGATTCACTTTCTCTAAAACATTTTGAAATTTTCACTAACTAGAAGCTCCCGCCTAAATAAACCAATCCTCTCGTCACTTTACATACCCCGCGGATCACGATCCGCGTCGTTGTTTTCTTAATGATTCTCAACCGTAGCTTACAAAAACATCCACGGTCCAAACTCGCTCTTGAGCTATCAAAACAAACACAAAGCTCCACATCTTTCCCTATAAATAACCCCAATTCCTTTCCCCTCTCATACAATTACTTCAAGCCTTCTCTATTTTTCTTGAGAGACAAACACTAACGCACTCTTTCAATCCTTGATATAAGAAATGGCTCGTACAAAGCAAACAGCAAGGAAGTCCACCGGAGGCAAGGCGCCGCGAAAGCAGTTGGCCACCAAGGCTGCTAGGAAGTCAGCTCCGGCGACCGGAGGAGTGAAGAAACCTCATCGTTTCAGGCCAGGAACTGTGGCCTTAAGAGAGATCAGGAAGTACCAGAAGAGCACTGAGCTCTTGATCAGGAAGCTTCCATTTCAAAGGCTGGTGAGAGAAATCGCACAGGATTTTAAGACCGATTTGAGGTTCCAGAGCAGCGCCGTCGCGGCTCTTCAAGAAGCTGCCGAAGCTTATCTAGTCGGTCTATTTGAGGACACAAATCTCTGCGCAATTCACGCCAAGAGAGTCACTATCATGCCTAAAGATATTCAACTTGCTAGGAGGATTAGAGGTGAGAGAGCCTAGAGAAGTATTATAAGTTGAATATCTGGATCTATGTTGTTTTTCAGGGTTTAGGTTTTAAGATCTGGAAAAACATGTAAATCGATTTGAAATCTGATGAAAATCTCTGTTCTATCCTTGTTCTAAACATGAAGTCAAATCAATCAAGTCTCATTGATGCTGAGAAATCCTCATTACTGCAAAATATTGTATGTTTAAGCTTTTGAATCAGATGTGGTTAGCATTTTGATACATTTTATGATGTTTGGAGATCAAAAAGACAAAACTATACTTGGCTTGTTCAGATTATCTGCTACAGGCTTAATTCTTGTGTTCTTGGTTTGTGAGATTTGCATTTTGAAAATTTTGCTTCTAATTGTGATAACATGTATTAATGAAGAACCTGATGGAACATTGGATTTAGCGTGAAGTAAGTAACTGGTTTGATGTGAATATCATAGAGAATAAGAAACTTAGTTTAGTTTCAAATGAGATTTACAGTCTTAGAATCTCTTTATTGAATTGTTTCCATTGAGAGATCTAGAATTACATGTTGCAAGTGTAATGATATCTAGTAATCAACAATCCGTGGCATAATTGTAGAGTTAATTTTGCCATTCAGAAAACAAACCAAACTAAACATCATCCCTGACTTTGTCTATGCTGTATAGTTGGGTCTGGAAAGTACCAAATGTTCATTTGTGCGGGGACATGGCATCTCACAATTTGGTTAGCTTCGAGCAGTCTGCCATTTAAGGAGTATACCGTATACGTAATATGTCTTTGAATTGAAAGGGAGGTAATAGGTTTAGTTACTTCTTCCTCCCCATTTTGCTGAATAGCTTAACCTGATGCTCTTGTGGTCAATGAACAGAGCTTCGTCACCCAAGTTGTACACTCTAATACATTTCTTAAGCGAAAAGTCTATACTATAAAGTTGTGGATGACTTGGGTGAGTATATTTAACTACCAAAAGATTCTCATTCCAAGCCACGAACCTAATGTTCTTGGTTGAGTCACCAACTATACTGCTGAGTAGAAAATGCACCAAATGAACAGATCTCCAGTTGAATTTCCAAATCTGAAGGTAGCTATATTTGCTAGCTAGAACAAATATCCTGCCTTAAAAGACAACTAGATCCCAAAAATCCTCAAAACATGAATGGAGTATTGTATTTGTATAATTGTATCCCCTTGCTATCTCTAAACACATAAAACTGCCTAGAGTTTTTGTAGACTATCACAAGAATATAATCTAAACTGGACCCAATTGAAGCGAAGATGACGCGTTGAGGAGTACCATTATGTTGGGGCATGGTGGAAAACTGGAGTTGCTGTTCTGTAATAGGATTTACAACCCGAAAATGTCCAGTGGAACGCTCTTTCATGATCAAGTACCCACTGGAAATACTAATAAAGAAGTCTAGACCCAAATTTGGCAGCTTAGTTTTATATCTGGTTGGATTAGTTATCTGGTAGGAATAACAACACTTCTGAGCATGAGTTGATAGGTAAATAACGAGAGGCGATTGTGATACCATAAACCCTAGCTTGGTTTCTGAATAAAATAATCCCCAACTTCTGCAAACTTTGCCAAACCTTATATAATCTGCTACACCCAGATTAGTAAAGCTAATTATTTCAAGTTCATTCGGAAGATCAGTCCATGATTTCAAATGGGATAGGATTTTGTTTTCGCTCTTCTTCTTCTATTCCCTTTAGATTTTCTCAACACTTTGCCTGCAACAAGCATAGTATTTACAAACCATGTGATATTATAGACACAGATAATTGATTTACAGAACAATAAAACACACCTGAATCCATGGCGAGTTATTCATCAATCAGTAATGGAATCTACGGTGAGGCAGAAAATAATATACCCTAAACCTAAATCTACACATTTATAAGTTTCTAGACGGCTTATATCCCTAAACTCATAGAAGTATAAATTTAACCAAATTCACTCATGAAGCCCATGTCTATTACTTATGCCAAGCCCAAATATTAAGTTGAATTGAGGCTGATAAATTTTCAATAAGATTGCTTCAGTATTTTGTATGCTTGTTAAAATTTCTGATTGTGAAATGAACGATATTATTGTTAGAAAAATCTGCCTGATTGTAAGATAACATTAATTATAATTTTGTTTTAATAAAAAATTGGGTAAACGTGTAGTCCAAATGAGATATCCTCTTGGGTTTTATGTGATTGTTTTAGGATTGTCTAATTAATACACTTCATTATAATAATTTGGGTTGACGACTAGTATGAGTTTGCGCCTGAAATGGGTTTCAAGGTTTATTTGACCTTTAATAGGAGGACTCAATAAACCAATATTAAAATTGGCTAGGTCTCCCTCCCAAACGCATGAGAACAACTTAGTACATTTGTAAGTTAAACCCATTTGTAAGTCGTCATACATAATGCATTATCGAAAAAAAACATTATTGGAAAGAAAGGCTTGTTGCTCTCTATCGCTTCTATTAGGATTTCAAGAATCGGCAATCATGGCACATAGTCGCTTGTCTATAATCCTTGATTGTTAATTTTAGTATTTTATAACCTGTAACTAATCTTGGGATTCTGAAATTGATTGATTGATTATTGTTCATAATTGAATTGTGATTATAATTTCGGAAATTATCTTACAATTACTTCATGTGTAGATTAATATTACAATAATACTATGCTTACTCACGATCTTACTAACCATCTTATTATCCTGTGTAAATATAAAGCATAGTACGGGTACCATACGCATAGTACGAATACCATATGTAATTTTAACAAAAGATAGTAAGATGGTTAGTAGTAAGCATAGCATTACTCTTAATATTACGGAAAAATTTACAACTTTTGGAGAAAATATGAGGTTTGATCTCTTCTTTTGTGTAGAAAAACTGTTGAATATTGCAGAGAATTGGAAACTGAGTTTAATTACAAATGAATTGAAGCTTATTCATCTGTCCTATAATATCTTTACTGATCCATAGGTAGAGAGTTTCTAAGCAACATCTGGAATTACATTTTGCAGAATTTAAATGATAACTGATAATGAAAAACCAAACTAATCATCGTCCCTGACATTGTCTATGGACTCTATGCTGCATAAATGATCTAGAAAATACCAACTACTTATGGGTTCCTCCCCATTTACTTGTATTGCTTAATCTGCAGCTCATGTTATCAATAAACAAAGCTTCATCTCCGAAGTTCTCCACCTTAACCCATTCACTCCTCGAAAAGTCTATCCTGTAAACATTGAACTCAGTGGCAGTCAAGTTCACTACAAAAAGCTGCTCCTTGGAAGCCACCAACCTGATTTTTCCGGTCAAGTAATGAGGTTCGTATGTAAGTGTTGAAAACACCGAATTACCGGATCTCAAGTTGAATTTCCCAATCTGCCAAAGGCTAGTTACGACGAATAGCCTGCCATAAAAAACAACTACAGCTTCAACACATCCATGGTTGCAGCAGACGAGCTAGAAAAGAAAAAAAGAGTGAAGATTTTTCATCTGTGCACAGTTTCCAGCAAAGCTACGATCTCACTTCGTTTGTGGTTGGATCGAGCTCAAATTTGGAAGAGAGACTCATGATACAATGAGGTACAATCTAACGGTGAAGATCAGATTTATGAGTTCCGAAACTGGTGTTTTACTTCTGTGAACAGTAACTACGAGTTTTGGTGAGATCTTCCCAACATCTCTTTGTTGGTCATGATAATAATCTTATTGTGATTATATTTCATGATTTGGTTATTCTTGATGTTTATGTTTGCTGGATACATCTAGTAAGAATTATTGTAAAATACTAATATATATTTTATAGTCTTACATGCATCAAATGCTTCTCTCNGATGCCTTGGAAAAACGGTTCGGCCCATCAGATTTTGATGATGCTGAAGGAGAACTAGCAAAATTACGTCAGAACTCTACTGTGGCAGCATATCAGAAACGGTTTGAGGCTCTATCAAACCGTGTGGTGGGATTAAGTGATGATTTTCTACTTCATTGCTTTGTTAGCGGATTAAAAGACGAGATCCGATATATGCTGAAACTACTTCGCCCAAATTCCCTCATTGAAGCTATTGGGCTGGCACGCACACAGGAAGCTCATTTGGCTGCTCGAGCTCGGCCTTCCTCTAATAGTCGTCTACCACACCGAATGCAAGCCAGTGCTAGCACAACACCAGGTCTATCAAACACCTCCTCTCAACTTATTGCTGCCCCGCAAGTTAAAACAATTTCTTATGATGCCATGAAGGAGAGAAGAGACAAAGGATTGTGCTACTATTGTGACGAAAAGTTTCGTCCCGAACACAAATGCAAGACTCAAACCCTTTTCATGCTTGAAAGTCAACCTTTGGTGGATGAGGAAGATATGGATTGCTCTGACGATTCATCCTCGCAGGAAGGAACAGTTCCCGAAATATCTATTCATGCCATGGCAGGAGCTCACACTCCTCAAACTATGCGAGTCACTGGCCTTCTTTACAACAAGCCAATGTCGGTTCTCATTGATACCGGCTCCACACATAATTTCTTGGACCCTTAGATAGCAAAGAAGACCGGATTACAGGTGGATAACGCGGCCAAATTTAACGTGATGGTGGCAAATGGCAACACTTTTTCTAGCACTGGACGTAGCAAAAATACATCTCTCTCTATTCAAGGTATACCAATTACTGTTGATTTTTACGTGTTGCCCTTAGGAGGATGTGATGCTGTTCTTGGTGCCCATTGGCTTCAAACTTTGGGACCAATACTGTGGGATTTTAACAAGATGTGGATGAAGTTTACACTATCAGGCAATCATCACCAAATCCTCGGTGAACCTTCAAAAGCCGTTACCTACTCCACTTGCAACTCTATCTCCAAGCTTGGTAAGGCATCTAATTGTGGTTATTTACTCTTTTCCCTTACTACAAGTGGACTTAAACCTTTAGAGGAGATTGTTCCCTCTCCTTTGCAACCTCTCATCCGTGAATTCCAAGGTATTTTCAAAGCTCCAAAAGGCCTGCCACCTTCACGTTCCCAAGACCACCA